CGCTCCTCTGCTGTAGGGCCTGCCGTTGGCTCTGGAGACCTGCTTGGATTTACCCACGATTTGCCAGTTTTCGCCTCTCGGTTTGGCTTTAACTTCCTTCCTCCCGAAGCCCGTGCTTCCTTCAGTGGCAGTCGGGTGGCGACCAGCTCGGGTGTTGTCTGAGATGTTGCTCCTGGATGACGGTTCAGCTGCAGGCTAAGCTGCGCGTTCCCAACGCCCCGCAGGCTGGCCGCCGGCCCCCGCGCGTTGTCCAGTCCTGGACAGTCCTTTGTGGGTGACCCTCCCTTCCTGTCTGGTGACTCCCCGTGCCTTCTCTGTGGCTTTGGCATCCTGGAGTTTCACCGAGTGGATCAGCTGGTGGGTTACCTGTATTTGTTCTGCTCGCAAGTTGTCGTGACTCCCGCATCTGCAGGTGTGTCTTCCGTCGAGCGGAACGTCAGCCCCACGTCGTGCATTGTCGTCTCCCCCAGATGCTCTCATCTCCCCAAAACTCCCACCCAACCTCGCTCTGACCTCCCTGGCTGCCTCCGGGCTGTCCCGTCTCGCCCCGGGTGCTGCTTCCTCGCTCACGTCTGTCTGGTTACAGATTCGCCACACGTGCCACCGTTGAGATCCGTTTCCGTCACCACGTATGTTTTTGTTTCCGTCTGTCTGCACGTGGGGCGGGTCTGCTTGTCCTTGGCACCACGTATGTTCCTCCTGGTTCGCATCACAGCTTCGGATCCTTCAGCCGCTTGAACCCACTTGTTTCATCAGCTCCGTCCTGTGACCCCGTCACCCACAGCTGTCGGAGACTCTGATTCCATTCTCCGTGGCTGCTCTGACGCTCACTTGTGGTGCCTTGCTTCCTCGTGGGTCTGCAGCTTAGGTCGTGATTGGTGGAGGTCCCCTATCCTTGGGGTCCCGTGCACGCTGCCTGAGGGACGCTGCTCCGGCGAGGCTCTCCCTCTGCTGGCCCAGGCGCCCGGGAACCACCCTGGGGCACTTGCGGTGCTGGTGTGTGGATGTGCGATTGTCTAGATGACCCGTGTCACATAAATATGCACCCAGCCTCTCAGAAGGGCGGCCCTGAGCCACGTGCCCCAAGAGGAGACTTGTGACTCACGCTCCGAGAACACGGGCCAAGGCAGGCGAATCTCTTTTTCTCCCCCTTTTGCCAGCACGTGGGTTTGGCTGGCTGGTTTTGTTTTGCTCTGCTCTGCTCTGTGGTTTGAGTCCACCCTCTCCCTCTTGGCTGAGCTTTTCGAGGAGCCCAGGCTGAGATGTGGGGTCTCAGCTTCGTGCAGGCTCTTCCTCTCTGGGGGCAGTAAGTCCACCTGTGTCCCCCGGGTGGGCAGCCTGGGACAGCCTGCGTGTCAAAGCCAGCACGCACCTGCTCCACTGCACCTGCTTCCCTCTGGGCCACAGGGACGCCCCTGCCCCACCAGGTGAGCCCTGTTCCTGCGCAGACAGAGGCTTTCTATGGCATCAGGCCTGCTGATTGCCGGACACAGAGGTCCTCCTCTTGTGAAAGATGATCTGTTCCTGACACGGGAGGCTGGGAGCTCCCCATGGGCAGGGGACTGTGATACTCCAGGTTGGAACATCCCTGGGTGCCCCTCGAATCACCTGGAGATTTTACTGCTAACTCAGAGGCCCACCCCTTAGGTTCTGAGTCACAGTGGCCGTGGGGAGGCCCAGGGGTGTGTGTCTGTAACAAGCCCCAGGTTACCCTGAAGCATGTGGCCCGTGCACTAGTGCAGCCCGCAGGTGACATCCTGCCTCTGTGACATCCTGGTCG